GAGTGCAGAGCCAGGAGGAACCCCTGAGCATCGCTGGGTGTGACCCAAAGAGCAAAAAAAAAAAAAAAAAAAAAGACCAGCATGAGGGCAGGGAGGGGCCGAGACAGAAGACAGAACCCGGGAGGAGGGTTTGGGCACTTGCCTTGCATGTCCCTGACCTTCAGCACCACCAGGAGTGACCCTAAAGACAGAGCCCGGAGTCATTCCTGAACACGGCCAGGTGTGGCCCAACCAGGCCTCCCCCGCAAAAAAAAAAATATAATAATAATAATAGCATTGGGGGTAGGACGTTTGCCTTGAACATGACTGACCGGGGTTCGATTCCTGGCATCCCATATGGTCCCCTGAGTGCAGAGCGAGGAGTAATCCCTGAGCACTGCCCCGGGTGTGACCCCCCAAAGCCAAAAATAAATAAATAAATAAATAAATAAAAAATAATATGGAAAAATAAAAAATAATAAAAATAATAAAAAATAATATGGAAAAATAAAAAATAATAAAAAAATAAATAATATGGAAAAATAAAAATAATAAAAATAATAAAAATAATATGGAAAAATAAAAAATAATAAAAATAATAAAAAATAATATGGAAAAATAAAAAATAGAACCCCTTGAGCAGACACCCATGCCAATAGAAATGTCCCTTTGGGTCTTTCTCTGTGGTTCTCAGATTACAGTCTAGATCAGGCGGAATAAAAAAGTACTCACCAGCAAACAAAAAGCGGACGGAAATCCCTGGCCTGGAGGAGTTTGAATTCCACTGGGGAAAGCGGAAGAAATCGAATCCATTTGGCACGCTCAGCGGAGGAGGAGGAGTCCTTATCGGCCAGGACCCATCCGAGGCTTTTTCTAACACATTGCCTTTCGGCCTTCCAGAAACGTGGGATTCACTCAGACCAGAACATGAAGCTGAGGGAAGGGACGTGCTTGTCCCAAGCCCAGTATGGTCAGTGGTCCTTGGAACATAGAAGGGCAGAGAGCATCTGAGGGTGCTTGGACACTGCTCTGATGTTCTTTGGTATCCCAAGAAAGGTGGTTCTTCTGGTGGATCGACTCTTAATGATTTCTAAGAACTCTTTACATAGGAAGGATGCTATTTTGAACCACGTTGCTCCAGCCCCCAAGGATGCTATTTTGAACCACGTTTTGGCTATTGTACCAACAGAGCGAGATCGGGATCCAAGGACTTGGCATCAGGCACCCTGAGGAACTGCCAAGATTTGCAATGTATTTCCTTAGACGGGCCAGGCAGCTCCCAGATAACCAACCTCTCAGAAGACAGCAGAACTTCTATGTATTTTTCTCGGGGGAAGGGGGAGGTATATACCCAGACTGTTTGGTGCTCAGACTGTTCGGTGCCAGGGTTTGAACCCACGACTCCTGCCTGAGCTCCAGCCCGGGGAATAATAGTCTAATAAACTGCAAGTTATTTGTGTTTGTTTGTTTGGGGGCCTCATCCGGCGATGCTCAGGGCTTCCTCCTGGCTCTGCACTCAGGAATCACTAGGGAGTGCTCGGGAGACCCTGATCTGTAGAGTGCAGAACGCCAGACCCCGAGGGATCCTGGGGATCGAACCCTGGCCAAGTGCAAGGCAAACGCCCTCCCTGCTGGCCTCCCTGTCCTGGCCCCGAAGGTAAATTCTAGGTATGGAAATGTGTCCTCAAAGGATGGTCTTATCAGAAATCTCCGTGAGAGCTGGTATCTGCACTCACTGGGGCAGGGAGGAAGGAGGCAGGAGAGAAGGAGCACTCCCCGCCCCAAACTCCCGGTTACACCACAGCCAGGCCCATCCCTGCCTCAGTTCTCCCAGATGCCCCTCCTTCCCCAGAGCTGGCATCTTGACACCCAGCTACCCTTCCTCTGTCTCCTTAGGACAGCGGGCAGCGAGTCGGGTCGTTGCCTGGCACGTGGCCCACCTGGGTTCAACCCTTTTTTTTGGGGGGGGTCACACCCGGCGATGCACAGGGGTTACTCCTGGCTCATGCACTCAGGGATGACTCCTGGCGGTGCTCGGAGGACCGTGTGGGATGCTGGGAATCAAACCCGGGTCGGCCGCGTGCAAGGCAACGCCCTCCCCGCTGTGCTATCACTCCAGCCCCCACCTGGGCTCAACCCTTAGCACCCCTGAGCACCACCAGGAGGGATCCCTTAGGGCGAAGCCAGGAGTCAGGGCTGAGCACGGCCGGGTGTGGCCCAAAAACTAACAGAAATTTCAGTGAATTCAGTTCATCTTTCTTGCTTTGTTTTTTTTGGGGACACACCAGCCGTGCTCAGGGCTGACCAGGAAGCTCTGTGCTCGGGGATCACTCACGGTGGCGCTCACAGAACCCTGTGGGGTGTTGGGACCAAACCTGTAATACTGGGGCCGGAGAGACAGTGGAGCAGGGGAGGCTGCTTTGCACTTAGTCAACTTCGGTTTGCTCTCCTGAGCACTGGGCTGGGAGCAGTTCCACGGGATGGGGCTTCCAGACAAAGAAGGAAAGTCAAACCATAGAGTGCAGAACGCCAGGTGTTGGGTGATGCTAGGGGCGCCTCGCTTCTCAATCCGGGACCTCCCAGCTTCCCAGACACAGGAATGGAAGCTCCGAGAACGTGCCTGGTCATTTCGGCTCCCCCAGAATTGCCTGTGACAGATAAAATGGTGTCTCAAGGGGCCAGAGGAGGGGCTGGAGCGGGAGCACAGCGGGGAGGGCGTTTGCCTTGCACGTGGCCGACCCGGGTTCGATCCCCAGCATCCCATAGGGTCCCCCGAGCACCGCCAGGAGTCATTCCTGAGTGCAGAGCCCCTGTGCATGGCCAGGTGTGGCCCCCCAAAAAAAATTCAGAATGAGTTCAAACCAGCGCCCAGCACCCACAGACCCCAGAAGCACCCTCCTGGCCGGTGTCCTGGGCTTGTCATGAGGCCGGTTCCTAGTCCAGCAAGAGAGGTGATTCAGGCAAGGGGTAACCCGGTTCTCAAGTCAAGCCATCAGCCGGTCTTCTTGGCCCTCCCCGCCCCTGCCTGGGTGACCACGTGAGACTGGCCGCAGGCAAGGTCAGCGGCCACTGGGCTCCCAAGCAGTAATCTCTGTTTGTTTGGGTTTGGGGGCCACGCCCAGAGGTGCTGATTCTGTGCTCTGATCTCGGACCGCGTTGGCAGGCTGGAGGGGGGCCCTCCGCAGGGCTGGGGATCGAACCTGGGCCGGCCACATGCCAGGCAAGCGCTTTGGCCCCGGTGCTGTTCGATGGTTTACTTTGGTTTGCCCAGCGATGCTCAGGGCTTACTCCTGGCTCTGTGCTCAGGGACCATCCTGGCAGGGCTCAGGGGACCCCGTGTGGGGTGCCGGGGATCAAACCCGCGGATGCCAGGAGCAAGGCGAACACTGACTCCGCCTGGCCCCACGGCCTCTACACTAGTTTTCAGGAAATGAGTCTGTTCCTGCCCGCACGCGGCCTCCCGGAGGATCTGCGTGCAGGACCGCGTGTGTCCCGGTTAGTGAGAGTCACGCAGCCACACTGCGATCACCATCATTTTGAGTCCCCGTGTTTTCTGCCCCTGGCGTTACCTTTAGCTGGGGGAAGAAATCTAAATGGAATTTCTTTTGCTTTTAGTTGGGTTTTCTTTTTTTTTCTTTGTCCTTTGGGCCCACACCCGGCGATGCTCAGGGGTTCCTCCTGGCTCTGCGCTCAGGAATGACTCCTGGCGGTGCTCGGGGGACCCTAGGGGATGCCGGGGATCGAACCCACGTCGGCCGCGTGCAAGGCAAACGCCCTCCCCGCTGTGCTATCGCTCCAGCCCTCTTTGCTTTTATTTATTTTGTGGGGAGCATGAGAGGCGGGGTCACACCCGGCAGTGCTCAGGGCTGACTCCTAGCTCTGTGCTCAGGGATATTTCCCGGCAGACTTGGAGGACGATCTGGGGTGCTGGGGAATCAAACCTGAGGACCCCGGTGGGCTGCCAGTGAGGCAAGCGCCTTCCCCTCTGTACTCTCATTCAGGGCCTCCGCTTCACTGTTAGTAATACAACCTTTAAAAAAATCTCCTTCTGCTGGGGCTGGAGTGATAGCACAGCGGGGAGGGCGTTTGCCTTGCACGCGGCTGGCCCGGGTTCGATTCCCAGCATTCCACAGGGTCCCCTGAGCACAGCCAGGAGTAACTCCTGAGTGCAGAGCCAGGAGGAACCCCTGTGCATCGCCGGGTGTGACCCAAAAAGCAAAAAAAAAAAAAAAAAAAAAAAAAGCAAAAATCTAGAGACACACACACACACACACACACACGCACACACACGTGCCTCGAACGCAGCCAACCCGGGTTCGATTCCCAGTATCCCATAGGGTCCCCTGAGCACCACCAGGAGTGATTCCTGAGTGCAAAGTCAGGAGTAACCCCTGTGCCTCGCCGGGTGTGACCCAAAAAGCAAATAAAAATAAAAAATAAAAAGAAAGGCCTTGATTGGGGCTGGAGCGATAGCACAGCGGGTAGGGCATTTGCCTTGCATGCAACCGACCGGGGTTCGAGTCCCAGCATCCCATGTGATTCCCTGGAGCCCCACCAGGAGCAATACCCGAGTGCATGAACCAGGAGTAACCCCTGTGCCTCGCCGGGTGTGACCCAAAAAGCAAAAAAAAAGAAAAAAAAAGTAGGGCGTTTGCCTGGCCTGCAGCCAACCCGGGTTCGAGCCCCGCCAGGGGTGATTCCTGAGTGCCTGAGCCAGGAGGAAGCCCTGAGCATCGCCGGGTGTGTCCCACAAAGGAAAAAAGGGGTAAAAAACCCTCCCCGGGGTCTTTGGCGGGTCCCCGCTCCCGGCGCCACGGCCTCCGCGCGCCCCCGCACCCGGCTCGTTCCTGCCCCAGGGCCTTTGCACGGCGCTTCGGGCGCTCCCGCGCGCTCCCGCCGGCCTCCCCTTCCCCGCCCGCCCTCGAGGGGGCCGGGCCGGGGCGGGCCGGGGCGGGGCGCGCTTGGGCGGGCGGCGTCCGGGCGGGCGAGCCGGTCCGGCGGGTGCGCGCGGGTCCGGCGGGTCCGGCGGGTCCGGCCCGGGTCCGAGCGCCATGGACGGGCTGCGGCGGGGCCTGTCGCGCTGGCGGCGCTACCACATCAAGGTGCACCTGGCGGACGAGGCGCTGCTGCTGCCGCTGACCGTGCGGCCGCGGGACACGCTCAGCGACCTGCGCGCGCAGCTGGTGGGCCAGGGGGTCAGCTCGTGGGGTCGCGCCTTCTACTACAACGCGCGGCGGCTGGACGACCACCAGACGGTGCGCGACGCGCGCCTGCAGGACGGGGCGGTGCTGCTGCTGGTCAGCGACCCCAGGTGGCCGGCCGGGCGCGGGCGGGGGGGGGAGGGGGCGGGGAGGGGGTCCGGGGGGTCCGGGTGGGCCAGCTGGGGCGAGGGAGGGGGCAGGGGGCGGCCCCCAGCGGACCTCAGGGCCTGGCCGCTGGACACCGGGCGGGGGGTGGCCAGGACGGCCTTTGCCCAGCTGGGCCCCCCACCCGGATGGCACCCCTGGCACCCCCTGTGGCCCCCAAGGACGGCAGAAGGGGCACCAAGGCCAGACTGGGGTGGAAAGGGGGTCCACCACCCGGGTGAGGAGGACCCCCCGCCCGGACCCTGGGGAGGCCAGGCCAGGGCACGGGTGCGGCCAGAGGTGGGCCCAGGCGGGTGGGAAGGGGCAGTGGGTGGCCTCTGGGCCCCTCTGCCTGCTGGCACCCCCTCGCCTCTGGTCTCTGTCCTTCCCCCGTCCCATGGGGACCCTGCACCCCCCCACCTTCCGCCCTGGCTGTCTGTCCGTCCCAGCCCTTGGGGGCCTGCCGGCTTCTGGGGCCGGGGGCGTCCTGGGTGGGTGTCCCATGGGGACCCTGCACCCCACCTTCTGCCCTGGCTGTCTGTCCGTCCCAGCCCTTGGGCGCCTGCCGGCTACAGGGGCGGGGGGCGTCCTGGGTGGGTGGGTGGCGTTTCCCTGAGAGCAGAGCTCTGCTGGCAGGAATCCCAGCCGCCGTGTGTGTGCCCAGGGGACAGGGGACACCCTGGGCTGTCACCCCCCGGGGGGTGACCCCGACACAGTTTAACGAAAACAACCAGAGGTGCTGCAGACCCGGGTTTGAGCCCTGAGTGATCCCTGAGCACAGAGCCCGGAGTCAGCTCCCAGCGAGCACGTCCAGATCTGGCCCCAAAGCTGAAACGGACGAAAAGCAAGCGGGAGAGCTCGGAGGGCCGCAAGGATGGGCCGCCGGGAAGCGCATGTGTGTCTTGGGGTTTACTGGGGTCCCCCGAGCCTGCCGGAGCAATCCCTGAGCACAGAGCCAGGAGCAAGTTCAGAACGCCGCCGGGGGTGTGGCCCCAAACAAAACACACAACCCCGAGAAAGAGCCGGAACTTCTTTCTTTCTTTCTTTCTTTCTTTCTTTTTGGGTCACACCCGGCAATCGATGCACGGGGCTTACTCCTGGCTCTGCACTCGGGAGTGACCCGGGAATAGAACCCGGGTCGCCCTACCTGCCGGGCCACCGCTCCAGCCTCCCCGTCTCCCCTCTCTCAAGCAGCCCTGGTCCCAGAAGGTGAGGGGTGACCCGAGGGCAGCGGAGAGATGCTGGCTGGAAGGAGCCCCCTGGGGCGGAGGGGCGCTGCCCCAGCCCTGGGCTCACTCCAGGTAAGACACCGGGGAAGGGCTAGGGAGGAGGCCGGGGTGGGGAGGGTGTTTGCCTGCACCCCGCCGGCCCGGGTTCGATCCCCGGCATGCCATAGGGTCCCCCGAGCACCGCCTAGGAGTCATTCCTGAGCACAGAGCCAGGAGTCAGCCCTGAGCATAGCCAGGTGGGACCCAAAAAGCAAAACAGAGAAGCCGAAATGATCTGGTCCTTCGTGTCCTGCTTGGGTGGAAAGTTTTGTTTGCCTGGGGGCCACCCCCGGCGATGCTCAGGGGCTCCTCCTGCCTCTGTGCTCAGGAACGACTCCTGGCGGTGCTCCGGGGAGCCTATGGCATGCCGCGGATCGAACCCGGGTCGGCCGGGTGCAAGGCAAACGCCTTCCCCTGGTGGTGCTGGTGGAGGGTGGTGGTGGTGCGGGACCCTATGGGAGGCGGGGGATCGAACCCGCGTCTGCTGCAGGCAGGGCCAGCGCCCTCCCCGCTGCCCTGTCGCTCGGACCCCTCGACCGAAACCGTCTGGTCCTTCCTGCCCAGGTCTGAGCGTCCCCCAGCAGCCAGTGAGACGCGTCCCGGTGGCGGCTGATGCCCGCGGCCCCAGATGCGAATCGGCCCCGGCGGGCTCTGCTGTGCGACCCCCGGGGGTCTGGCGCCCCGTCTGCCGCGGCAACCCCCCCTCCCTCGTACCCTCAGAAATTCCATCCCGCGTGAAGAAGAGAGAAACGCAGAGGGAAGAGGAGGAAGGGGGCCTGCAGCGGCGAGGGCGGCGGGGGACAGCGGGGGTCGGCAGGGCCGGCGGCTGGACCTTGGACATTCTCGACCACAGCTTTGCCTGGACTCTGCCAAGCCGGGCCTGGACTCTGCCGGGGGCATCCTTCTTCACACTTGACTCTGACCCCGATGATGATGCCCGCCTCCTCCAGGAAGTCTTCTCGGACCCGCTCCTCCCTCCCCTCCTGCCCCTCTGGGGAATCTACTGTGAACCGGGCTGGGCCCCGCAGCCAATGGACTCAAATCTCTGAATTGATCTGTGGCAGAGAAGGGGTGACCCCCAGCTCCCTCTCTAATGTCACAGCCCCCTCCCCTCCGCCGGTGGCGGGCTCCCTCCACTAAAGTTGTGCCATCTTGCCTGGTGCGTGCTGTCTCTCAGTTGAGTCTGGCGCAAGGGGAGCTGGGGTGGGGGTGGGGGGTAGGTGGGTCCCTCTGTGCTGGCTAGCCTGGGAGCAGGGCAGGGCAGGGCAGGGCAGGGCAGGGTGGTCATCCTGGGGGCCTTCCAGGTGGGCATCACCTGTTGTGACCCAAAAAAGACGGGGGTGGCGCAAGATTCCAGCGAGATTCAGCTTGCATGCAGTTAACACAGGTGCAGTGCCCCCCTCCTGACCATCACAGTTCACTAACAGGCCATTTCCAAGGACCAAAAGGTTCAGGAAGAGGGATAGGGCTATTATACATGTCCTTGAGCCCACTTTACAGGTAGGGTGTTAGAGACCCTGCCAGCAGCAACCCTGGAACTGAGGGGCACCTATGCCATGCGGGGGGGGGGACTTCTGACAAGGGGGAAGAAAGTTTCCTGCTCCCTGATGGGAGGGGCAGGAAAGGGTTCTGGAGGCTTCTTGACATTTCACAAACACTATGCAAATCGCATGCAAATCGCATGCAAATCGGCACCCACTTCTTTGGCCCTGACAGGTCTGGCGTGTCTGAAATGATAATCTTGGCGTTGGCCCTTGGCTTTGGCCCGAGGGAGGAGGGAGGGACTCAACGCGCGTCTCCTTCCTCCCCTTCTCTCCTTCCCTGTCTCCTGAGTTGGAAATGCACCCCGGGAAGTGTGGCTTCTGGCATCCCCCCCCCCCCCCGCTTCCAGGTGGGGAAACTGAGGCACAAGCCTGGCCCAAAGTCCCAGAGATGGTGGGACCATATCTGGGGCTGGAGCCCTAGGACAGCACTGGGCCACCCCAGGTCGGATCCCCGGCACCCCATAGGGTCCCCCCAAGCCTGCCGGGGGAGTGATTCCTGGGTGCAGAGCCAGGACTCAGCCCTGAGCAGCTCCAGGTGTGGCCCAAAAACAAAACAAAAAAGTTCCCCACTTGATCTGGTGCCAGCAGTGGAATCTCCCCCTCCCCCCGCGGCCCTGCCTCCCCCCCCATGCTCCCCTCCCCTCCCCTCCCCCCCCCACCACGGGGCTGTGAAACCAGGCCAGGCCCCCCCCCACCTCCGGGCCACCAGCCCCACCCGGGAGCAAGTCTGGGCCCGGAGTTTCGGTGAGACTGGCAGGGCCTTGGGCCGCCGCCGCCTCTCCACCCACTGGCTCCGGCTCCAGGAAGGGGGCCCCGGGGCGGGCGCAGACCCAGGGGTGCTCAGCCCTGCAGGGGAGGGGGCCTCCCTTCCATCCCCTCCTCTCCCAACCCCGCCTTCTCTCCCTCTCTCCTGCTCTCTCCTTCCCTCTCTCCCTCTCTAGTTTCTCTTTTCTTTCTTCTTCCCTCTCTCCTTCCCTTTTTTTTTTTGCTTTTTGGGTCACATCCAGCAACGCTCAGGGGTTACTCCTGGCTCAGGAATTCCTCCTGGCGGTGCTCAGGGGACCCTGCGGGATGCTGGGAATCGAACCCGGGTCGGCCGCGTGCCAGGCAAACGCCCTCCCCGCTGTGCTATCGCTCCAGCCCCCTTTCTTACTCTGTCTTCTCTCTCCCTCCCCCCCCCCATACACGCACTGTCAGCCCCTCGCTGGCTGCCCCGCGTAGGGAGGGTGGGACCCTCAGCTCAAACTACCCAGAACCTTCCGCAGGTTTGATCCCTGCACTTTAAAGCTCCCGACACAGGTAGGGGAGGGTGTGGGATGGGGGTATACTGGGGTTTTGGGGGGTGGAGAATGGGCACTGGTGAAGGGACGGGTGTTTCATTGGATGACCGAGACTTAGACCCGAAAGCTTTGTAACTGCTCTCACGGTGATTCGATAAATAAAATTATAAAAAAAAGATTAAAAAAAAAAGTCAGGTGGAGTTCATGCCCAATTCAATCAGCTAATCAGTGGCTGAATGAATAGCAGTACTCCTACATTTAAAAAAAAATTAAAAAATGGGACTGGAGAGATAGCACAGCGGGTAGGGCTTTTTGCCTTGCACGCGGCCGACCCGGGTTCGATTCCCAGCATCCCATAGGGTCCCCTGAGCACCGCCAGGAGTCATTCCTGGGTGTATGAGCCAGGAGTAACCCCTAAGGCATCGCCAGGTGTGACCCAAAAAGCAAAAAAATATAAATTAATTAAAAATAAATTAATTAAAAAGAATAAAGCTCCCGACACTAGGGGGCGCCGTAGAGCGCCTGCATCAGGCAGGCTGGGCGCTGGATTTGCACAAGGTTCACCGGCTTTGACCCCTGAGAGCTCCCTGAGCACAGAGCCAGGAGTCAGCCCTGAGCGAAGCCAGGGGTGGCCCCCAAACCAAACTCCAAATCCGTCACACACACGCACACACACATCCGCTTTCTTTCCCTGATGCCCCAGCGGCTCTGCTAAGGGTTGCAGGACATTTGCATGTGCCTGGGACCCGGGCTGGGGCAGGGGGATGTCCCCGGGACCCCTGGAAAAAAGTCCTTATCCTCACAGTCGCAAGCTCAGTGTCACTCCAGCATGAAGCCCCCCCGCGTCCTGGGTTCCCCCGCCTTTGAAGAGTCATTATTTCTGTTATTATTCATGTCCTGTCCCTTCCTCAGCTAGCTGGTGGCATCGTGACAGCTGGGACGGGGTCGTGGCTGGATCACACGGCATTTGGTAAGGCGGCATCAAAGGGGGGCTGCGAGGACACCCCGCCCCGCCGGCCCCTCTCCTCTCTGCCCCTCCTGGCCGCCATGTCTGCCCCCAGATGCCTCGGCCAGCAGTGCTCGGGATTGGAATTCCAGGCACTTTGCTCCTGCCTCGGTGATGAATGGAGAATATTCAGGATTAATTATCGACTGTTCTGAGCGATCGGCTCAGATAAAACGGGACTCAGAGCTTCCCAGAATTTTGTGGTGGCTGGTGTGGGGGGGAGGAAGGACAGGGAGGGACCCGCCAGCCCAGAACACTGGCGACAGATGGGTTGTCTGTGCTGAGTCCCTTTTTTAAAAAAATAGTTTTTGGGTCACACCCGGCGATGCTCAGGGTTTACTCCTGGCTCTACCCTCAGGAATTATCTCCCGAGTGCTTGGGGGACCCCATGGGATGCTGGGGATCGAACCCGGGTCGGCCACATGCAAGGCAAATAAATGCCTTACCTGCTGTGCTCTCTACCCTGTGCCCAGAACATCATTTCTGCTCTGTTGTCTCATTTGGGAAAGCAAAACGGGCGGAAACTTCCGGCTCAGGGCCAGAGAGACAGCACAATGGGTAGGGCTCTTGCCTTGCACTTCCCAGACCTGGGTTCGATTCCCGGCATCCCAGAGGGTCCCCGAGAGCCCCACCAGGGGTGATCCCTGAATGCAGAGCCAGGAGGCAGCCCTGATTGTCTCTGTCCTCAGAGATGGGGGCCAGTGGGGTGGGGGGAGAGAGAGAGATTGGTTTGATTAGAACTTTTTTTGGAGGATTCTGCTGGAATTCTGCGTTATCACAGAAGTGCTGGAGAATCAGGGAGTTGATTTTATTTTTATTATTATTATTATTATTACTATTATTATTATTTTGCTTTTTGGGTCACACCCAGCAATGCTCAGGGGTTTCTCCTGGCTCTGCACTCAGGAGTTACCCCTGGCGGTGCTCAGGGGACCAGACGGGATGCTGGGAATCGAACCCGGGTCGGCCGTGTGCAAGGCAAACGCCCTCCCCGCTGTGCTATCTCTCCAGCCCCGGGGAGTTGATTTTTTATTGATTTTTCCCCCAAGGCAAATGCCCTCGGGGGTCAAGCTGTCCCTCCATCCCTGTGAACTAACTGGTTCTGGAAGTCGGAACCCCCCATCGCCTCCCATTCCCCATCTAGATAAAGTGGGGCCAGAACATCTGTCCAAGGTCCAGCTAG